ACATTTTGCATGACAAAAATGTAGCCTTTGGCCTGTGGGGTACTTGGAATCTCTTTTGATTTGCAGGCTGTAGAATCAGATCTTCTGTCTTTTCTGGAATGCCAGATGAGGCTGTTGCCCCGGTCCTGGGGTGGGAATGTAAAATTTTGGTTTTCTTGCACTCAAGGCCTTTGTTTCCATATTTAAAAGTTCTAGAATTTCTTTCTAGAACTGACAAGATCCATTAAGACATAGCACCATAGAAGTAATAGCTCTGAGAGAGAGAATGTGAACTGGGGGAGAATTTTATGTTGGATTTTTCTTTCTGTCTTCTACAGTATTCTGAATATAAGCGGCTCATTTGCTTATTTACCTGAAGTATTTTTGGTGTATAATACACTTTGCCAAAGATATAGTGCTTTTTCTTCAGCTGATGGACTCAGAGAAACAGGAGAAGATAATCTCCAGGCATGAGTTTTAAGAGCACTGGCAGATTTAACAGTAGTTACAATAGAAAAACACTTTTTCAAGTACAGATATCAAGGTTAAGATTTTTCTGAGTGACTAAAGAATAGCAGAGGAGTCTTCATTTAAGATGAGGGGAAATATCTGCAGTTGTTGCAAATAAAGCCAGATGCAATAGGTACTTGAGAATGCATTTTGAAGGAAAGAGTAATAAAGGAAATAATGAAGATAAGGAATGAAATAAAATTCTGTACTGCTTAACAAAGTGGAAATGCGAAATTAGGCTGTTGTACTTGACCTCTTATTTTTTGAGGGAGGGAAGAAAGGAGGTAGGATAGATTGTTTTCTGGACAGAAAAATATAGTTTATCTAATATATCTGGACACAGTCAAAATATTTTTGTAAGAAAAATGGTTAATAACAAGGAAAAGATCAGAATTTTGAGATGGAAAGAATAAGCTAAAGAGGGAATGAAATGCACTTGAGGGAGCACACTGGTGTGTAGATTGATAGATTAACCTATCAGATGTAGGGAGCTTACTTAAGAAGTTTCTTAAGTCTTGCGGATGAATCTTATTTCATTAATAACTGTGATACAATATTACATTTGCTGATGTCACAATGTTACTAATACAGAAGGGAATTAAATTATCTGCTAGAAAGATTGAACGGACTTGGAGGACCAGAATAATGGAATGGTTTTACTACTGTGAAATGCAGCACCATTCAGCTAAGGCTAATACTCAGAATTTAGACTATTAAGGCAGGAGTTAATTAGTTTTAGATGATTTTGGACCTTGTGTATCTACTGATTACAAGATAACCATGACCTGCCAATGTGGTATGTTTGCTAAACTAATGCCTTCTTCACGGAAGGTGTGACTTCTCTGATATTTCACTATGTAATACTAGATATCATTCTGGTCACTGTTGTTCTGGAAAGATGAAGTAAAGCTGCAGCAGATGCAGAGAGGGCTATAAGGGTGATGAGGTAGATGGAGAGCCTACTCTAGAGGTGATGTCTAAGTGCTCAGTTTAACCTAGGATTTGTGTAGGTGTGAACACAGTCTGTGACTTTCAGGAAAGAATGAATGAATTAAAGTACAGGACAACACTGGCACAAAAAGAAATTCAGTAAACTGGCCAACGGTAATTTTAGGTAGGAAATATGAAGTTTCTATGGCAACCAGTGAGTAAAGATTACTCGAAGACAAAAACTTGTTAGTTTTAATATAAGATTTGACATATTTATGGCAGATCTTGTTCATGGTTGTCATAGCAAGGAGCTAGACTCACTGGCTTTCTTTGTTAGGAGTGTAACAGTGTCCATCTGGCTCTGAGGTATGGTAACTGATGTGGCTTCACCAGGTCCATGCAAGCAAACTCCTTCACCTCCTGAACTGGCGCACATGCATCCTTCCTGCCTATGGGGAAGTGTTGGGGCTACACTGAGCTCCAGCCTCTGTACCCAATATCATTTGATCCATGTTACGTCGTACTCCAGAGGTGTACAAATACTTCTGGAGATGTTTTCCAGTTCCTTGCTCATTAAAAACGGTTGAGAAAATTCCTGATAGAAAGTTGTGTAGAAGAACTCCCTGTTGAGGAGCTGATGTCATTGAGATTTTTAACATTATTATTCCTACTTTTAAAATGTAAATAAATTCTGCCTTATGTGTATGAATAATTAGTAAACCTGGGCAAACAAAATAACAACAGCAACAAAAACCCTATTCTTTTTTTAAATACAAATAAACTTCATAAAGTAATTTGCTAGTAGATCCTACTCTCACATCAGATATCTTATAAATACCTGTAGAGTATGAGAAGAAAGAGAAATGTCTTTTTTTTGGTGTTGTTATTCTGTCTTTGTGCAAGTGCAATTAACTGTTCTTGGACAGTAGCTAGCAGATTAGGCACTGTAGGAGAACATTGCTAGTTGTTAAGGAAAGAGATGGAATGCAGCTTGGTCTGTTACAAACATTAAACATTACATAAAAACAAGTTTAAAGATCTTTTCTGTGTACACCCATTTTTTTTTTTTTATTTGGAAGGCACTATATTATAGGAGAGGATAGGAGAGGCCGCTTTACAGGTGATGACAACACAATGAGTACTTTCCAGTGTTTTCCCTTATACCCCTTTTAATTACATAGCTGTTGAGTTGACCAAACTAGCAAATGAACAATCAGATTTTTTCTGCAAATGGCAATAGGAAAATGAAGCAACAGTTTCTTAGCAACAAAGTGGAAAATATGCTAAATAATATATCTTTTTTTCCTGTTGAGGCTTTGTATGCTATGTTCCAGGCGTTGTTCTGAAGCAGATACAGATTTTTGTGTGTGGGTCTTTTAGATGAATGTTCTTACAGATTTGCCTTGGCTTGGAGGTTATCTGATAAACAGCTGTTTGTGCACACATTCTTACCTGGAGTAAGAATGGAATAGGAAACCTCTCTTTGCAAGGCCAAGACAGTAGATTAAATGTTAAAGCTGCATTTTTGAAGGGTTTGCTGAAAATAAACCAATGAAAACCCCCCAAAACATTCCAGTCAGATGTTGCTTATTTGGGAATGGTGAGCTACAGCTGAAGCAGCTCCGGTTGTCTCCTGTTGCTGGTGAACAGACAATCAAACTTCTGCATGCTCAGTTTAGCTGCTGAGTTCTGAGCAGAATTGTGCATAATCTACAAAGTGTACTGCATGAAAGAGCACTGATATTTTCTTGGAATGTTAAAGTAACAGAAAAAAAAAAGGGGGGGCACTGGGGGGCGAGGGGAGGGGAAGTGACAGAACGAAACATTTAATTTAATTTTGACCTTTAAGGAAATTTTTCATTTCAAAAGGAAGTATTCAGCTAAAAGCATAGTGTAAATCAGAAATATGTAAAGAAAAAACCCAAAACATTAAGCCAAAAAAAAAAAAAAAAAAAAAAAAAAAAATCTGGAGTGTTCGCAGTGTCTGAAAGCATTTACTGGCATGTCCTTCTGCACCCTCCAAACCAGTTATTTTATATTCTAGCTGACTCAGACATTGCAATACACATTGAGACTTCCTGAATTTTCAATTTCTCTGTGAATAATTCAGTTTACAGGTTAATTCTTGGGAAGGCGTAACAAGCAGATCAAAGAATCACAGCCCTTTGAAAGCCATTTCTAGAAAGCACCTGATGGTGGGCAGCAAAGAACTGTGCATCTGTGCTACACGGCAAATCCCCTCACCCGGAGTCCATGGGCTGAGCATACTGATAGCAAAGTCCTCCTCTTCATCTTGTATTTTTTCATTTGTGATGCATACTGCATTCATAGTTTGTTTCTTTAGAACTCGTGAATAACGCTGTTTTTCTCCTTCCACTAGGTATGCATATCATTTTCCAAGGTGCTCTGCAATTTTCTCCATCACTGAAGGATTATTTAAAATCAGCTCTGTTTTGACTTTCACAAGATTACACAGCTCCTATGTTAAAATGAGGGTTCTAGTTCACTCTGAATTTCACAAAGGCACTTTGAAGTAGCTCTTCACACCATTGTAATAGCTGTGACAAGGTTGAAAATGAAGCTGAAAGTAGAGCTTTATTTGCAAGAAGAGAGTAGTGGAAAAGTGGAGTGCTGAAAGCAACAACAGTGTAAGGGAAGTCATGTGACTTTCATCACAAATGAGGATGACAGACCGTTGGGAAAGAGTAGATTTACTGCTGGGGGGATTAACTTATATATATGTGGTTTTGGAACAAAATGTGCATTTTTTTCTTTCTGTCTGGCAGATGTGTGCATCAAAAGGGAATAAGTTTGTATTGAATTCAGGCAACTTAATTCCTCCTGTGATGCTCCTTCTGGACTGGTATTTAATTAACAAGAAACTTCTTGCAGTTTTCTTCTGCTTTTTGCATTTTTGATATGTTATAAAATTCTACTACAAAAATATTTCACATACATAGTGACTTTAAAATTTACTGGAGTCATGTCTGCACAGCGTGGCCTGGGCTGAATCATAAGCACTGACTTTTAAAGGCATTAAGGGAGTTGTCTGCATCTTATCTAGATAGATAGATAGATAGATAGATAGATAGAGATAGATATAACAACAGCCTGTTATTTTGTGGCTTGTAAAATTAATATAAAATGAAATATGAAAAACCATCCTAGTTGTAAATCTTAACATACTTCATTCTTTAAGACTGACTTTTCCAATATCTGACTTGAAAACTGCAGTAAGTTTCTGACTTAAAGAACACAAAAGGAAACTTCTTTGGTCTCCTAAGACCTTCAAGATTCATGAGAGCCATTTGCAAGATGGAATAACCAGAAATGAGGTGTGAAAGAGCTTATAAAAGGATTTTCTTGATTAAGATCTGAAGATGCTGGATATCTCCTGAGCCAGGACTCTGAATTTGAGAACATTTTATGAAAGTCTTCTTCTTTTATATATATGTAGTTGTTATTTTTCATCTCCTGGAGGTAGTTAGTTGACTGCTTTGAGATAAATTCAGTTATAAATTTTCAATTTGCTGTCTGGTCACTTTCCCTATTTACAAATCTATTTACAAATTTCCCTATTGCAAAGGAGATTTTTAAAGCAATGTTTCACTGTATTTCATCACCATTCTTGAAACCATGGACTGTTTGGGCTTTCCATTACATAACAGAACATTAAGTATTCATTTGTACTTTGGATCAGGTTTGTTTTTTCTTTTTCTTTTTCTTTTTTTTTTTTTTTTTTTTTTGGTTTTTTTTTTTTGAAATAAAAGAGTTTTTTTTTTTTTTTAATTTTACCTTTCCAGTGATTTAAATGAGTGCGGGGTTTGACCTATACAGTACACAGACAACACACTGTGTTCATTTCTTACTAAATAAAAGCTGAGATACTGATTATAAAATGAAAGTTGATCAAATTCTCAGCAATAGGCTTTACAGCATTAGCAATCTCTGGAATTACATTTTCCAACCGAACTTACTGAGTCATACACGTGTATCACAGTAGCACTGAAATGTTGCTAAGCTCTCAAATAAGCTCTTATAGAATATTTACAGATATGTTGTTTTATTTATTTATTCTGATTGTTTTCACTGCGATAATTGCCACGGTCCTGAAGCCCAGAGAACTCCTTGGCTACTTGCATGCTGGGTGCTGTTGTGGACTTCTGTCCACTCCCAAAGGTGCTGTCATACTGAATTCTTCAGAAAGAGAGCATTTTCCTTGTTATTTGGCCATCCTTAAAAGGGCAAAAATTGGCTTTAAAAATTGGCTTTTTCATTTTTTGAACACTCTCCTCGTATGTCCACTGTACCCTGTGAGGCAGAATAAATCCTGCAGCTACCAAGGTGCAAGTAGGTGCCTCAGAAAGAGTCCCCGCTCCAGAGGGGAGGTAAAGGGCAGTAAGAAGGAAGAACGTGAGGTTAGGAAGAGCGTGAGTGATGTCATCGCTGGAGGATCAAAAATCACTGCCATGTTTGTCGGTTATCTTGCTTATTAATTGAAAATGAGTTTGAAAGCATTAATCGGCCGAGGAACTTGCTTTGGGCTTTTCACTAAATTCTCAACGTTTCCAGCTTCATTCTATGTTTGCTTCGAAATAGTTTGGGGAATAGGGCGAGGGTACAGCTGAGGTGCTACAAAGCACCGGGCCGGGGGGAAGGAGCTGCTTCGGACGGCACCGATGAGTCAGAAACACCCGGAGAGAGGTCTGCGTGGCCACAGCCGTGCCGGGAGAACGCGGGCTGAGGGGCCGCGAGGGGGCGGACCCCCCACCTCCGCGTTCGGATCTCGCCGCGCTCGCAGCCCTTCTGCCCCGCGGAGGCCGCTGTAGCGCCGCGTTGCCCCGGCGACCGGCTCGTGCTGCTGGGGCGGCCCCGCTGCGGAGGCTGCCGGCGCGCGGGGCTGCCCCGGCCCGGTCCGCAGCTCTCGCCCCCGCGCTGCCTGCTGCGCTGTGCGGCGCGTCCGCCTCGGGGGCTGCGCTGCCGGAGCGGGACGGAGGCGGGGAGCGTCACTGCGCCACGGCCACCGTCCCTCCCCCCGGGGCGGGGGGGCGGCACCCGGGCTGCGCGTCGAGGCTGCTCCGCTCCGTGCCCCGGCGGCGAGCGGTGGGATTCGCGGCCCGGCACTGAGCGGCGAGAAGGGGAAAGTTGGCTCGTAACACCCCTACCTGCGGGTTACCGGGAGGGGCACATCCCGCTCTCTGCCCGACCGGGGAAGCGGCCGCACAAAGTTTGGCGGCAGGAGCTCGGCGGAGCCGTGCCGCAGTGTGCCGGGCTCCCGGTGGCGGTAGGCACGGAGGGGGCGTTGCGCGGTGCCGGCAGCGCGATGTGAGCCGCGGGCGGAGCGGCGGCTGCCGGGGGCTGCTGTGAGTCCATGCGTCCCGTACCGTGCTCTAGCGACATGGATTTTGGGCAGAGCAATCTGTTCGGGTACATAGAAGACCTGCAGGAACTAACTATTATAGAGCGGCCGGTGCGCAGGAGTCTGAAGGTATGTTCTCGGAAATAGAACGGTGCTTTGCAGTCCGTGTGAGATTGTTGCCGGTTGTGTTTGTGGGCAGCTGTGCGGATAGGCGGTCTGTTTTACAGCACCGGGGGTATCAGAGATTGTTTTCGGTCATTTTGGAGTGAGACGTATGGAACTCTGTGTTTCTAATATTTTCGTCATGAGACTGGTAAGCCGAAAAAAAAAAAAAAAAAAAAAAAAAAGAAAACCAACAAAAGACCAAAACCAGACTTACTTTGGCTTTTAGGTTAATGTACACGTGACTGATTTATACTTTCTTTCAAGTAATGAATAGCGGTAGTGTCTGACGTGGGGCTATACTTCAATTCTTGCTCCTCTTTCCCCCAGTGAGGAATCGATGGGACTGAATGTGAGATGTTGGCTCAGGGACATTCAGATCACTCTTGGAGCATCCCTGCGTGTGGGGAGGAGGGGATGGGTAAAAGAAGGTTAAAATAAGGCAATGGGATGGCATTGTGAACTCATAATTTCTATCTCATACTTGATAGACACCAGAAGAAATAGAACGATTGACAGTTGATGAAGAACTCAATGACATTGAAAGGGCTCTTTACCTGCTCAGGTATTTCCTACAGCTTTACTGTGAAACGTTACTTACCTCTGTGTTTACATATAGCTTTTTTAGTGCTGTTACTCTTCACTCTCTTTGTTTTCTGTCTCACAGTAGTTGTTGGCTTTTACCTTCTGCTATATTGGATGTCTAAGTAAGGTAAAGATAGGTACTGTGGTAATATTTTTTTAAGTTGCAAAGCCTCTGATGCCTTTGCAGATGTGCCAACATTTGAGTTTCTAATATGGCCCTTGTCAACATTGAGTTGTACTTAATCTTCTTTTCCCCAGCAGATGGTTTTGCAAGAACCTTGAGTGTTAACATTAGTAATGCCCTTTATTCAATGCCTTCATGTTCACTCTGAAGCATGAGTGGTTACACAAGCTGATAACAGAGCTGCTTCAATACATCTGGGCTTTCTGAAGAGAAAACCTGAGGGATTAGTTTTGTAGTCCTTATGCAATACTGTGGAAGATGCTCTGTTAATGCTTCCCTGTGGCTTTTCATTGTACCTCCCTCCTCATGTTCTTGAAAGAATTTTACTTGCAATTACTGGACAACTTAAATGCTGATATTCTAAAATATAGATCACTTTCAGCAATTGCATGCCATCTTTGAGATTACAAATGTTCTGATGGATTTTGATTTGAGTATTTGTTTTTACACAATACATGGTAATTGGAGAACCAGCTGCAGCTCCCTCTCAGTTTGCTTATTCTGCTGTTCTAAGTGCTCTTCTGGGCTATCACTGCCCTCTGTGTTTATAGTATATAACCCTGATGCTTTAGTTTTCCCTTTCTGGGTTGTGTGGCATTTTATTTAGGTAAGCATTTTTGTCCGCTGCTATTACTCTTAGTAGTGAGTTTCTTTTGATGCTAAGCTTTATTAAATACTGATTTAGAAACTTTTGTATTGGAAATAGTTCCTGTAATCAAAATAATCTGAAAGCAATCTGTTGTCTCTGGGGCAGATCGGAGAAAACAGTTTGCATGCTCTGCATATCACTGGAGAAAATCACATCAATTTCATTTTGTACCTCACAGCAATCAGCAGGGCTGGCTTCCTCCCATTCCCTTTATCAAGTCCCTTCCCTGTAGACACAAATTTCTTTGTTCTTTTTTTTTTTTTTTTGCTCTTTTCTCAATAAAAATGATGTTTCAAGCAGTATGTCGTTACTGGATCGTTGCCTGGTTAAAGGGTGAAAGGTTCTACATCATATCTTTCATGTTACTAATTACTTTTGAACTTGGCCTTGAACTTCTCTTGGTATATTCATCTGCTTTCTCTCTACATCAACAGCTGTTCTGGGAACATAACATTCATTTCCTTGTGCTGAAATTTTCATTGTTTGCCTCTTCATAGGCATTTGTACTGAAAGGTGGCTTCATCTCTGCTTGGTAAGCTTTCTGTAAAGCAATCACTTGCTGTGATTGTCCAGGTATGTTAAGACACTCATCCAGGGGAAGTTTTTGCTCTATGCTGCTTTCCTTGCACCAAGTAAGATGTAAGCAGAATTGAAAAGCTGCTTGTAACACAAATGGTATCTTTTATGTAATGCACAGAGGTATATATTTTTGGCTTGTCTGCTATTTTTCATCTATTATAACACAGTATCCCTGCCTGTTCCTGTTGGACAATGATGTCAACTTGGACTTTTCATGCCTCGTTTTCTCACGCTGATGCATTATTTGACTTCCTTCAGGTTGTCCCTTCATTTAATAATATTAATAATAAAAAAGCAAGAGCAGTAATAAAAAGTATGTATCTTACCTTTGGTACCTACAAGTAGTATTGAAATGCTTAACATTGTGTCACATTGGTTTTTATATTGTCATTTATATACATAACTTGAGTCTTCTAGATAGAAAATTTTAGTTTACTAAGGGGGGTATATTTAAAGTAGTGTTGCTTGTACACATTCAGCACAATGGAGCTGAGTAATACTGAGTGAAGCCTCTGTATGATCCAACAAAGATGACGTTTAGTAATTAATTTCAGTGCAAATACAAAAAGAGCCCTCATTTTTTAATGGCTTTCATTCTAAACAAACAAGCAAATATCAGTCACTTTCTTCTCATTTTCTGGCCTTCTTTCCCTCCAGAACCCACCCCCACCCTCTTCTCACCACCCTGAAACTCAGATCCTCTGGTCTGATTATATGCAGAGCTGTTGTGTTTTTTAGTAGAAACTCCTTCCCCACAACACCCCCTCTAGATTTCTGCTTCCAAAACCTGAACAGTGTAGTCTGAAAACGGATGCATTGACATCGTATTTGGAGAGAATTACAGTCTTTTGCTCTCTGAGGTTTTTAGTACCTGAATAGCATGTACATGTTTCTTCTTTTTCTTCTTTTTTTTTCTTACACATGTCTGTCTGGTTCTTGCTACTGTATATATGAGATTTCTTTCCCAGCTCTCCTACCAGTCTCATGAATTCATTCTCTTTTCATTTCTTGTGTTACTTCTCATTTGGCAGTAATACTACAGAGTTTCTGGCGTGCTCTTTTACTTATTAGTGTCATTCTTTATGAAGCTTTATAAAGCTATTTGTTTTGCCTGTGCAGCACATATTCATATCCATCTCATAATCTTTCTTTCATTTCTAAATGTCATCTATCAGTATCTAGCCACAACGTCTTGTCATATACTTTATTGATTTCTGTTCATTGTTTTCTAGGTATATAAATTATAGAATGGCTTAGATTGGAGGGGACCTTAAAGATCATCTAGTTCCAACCTCCCTGCCATGGGCATTGTTGGCAATACATGTCTATACATGCACTTACAACACTGTGAATACACTGACATATTAATGCTGATTGAAACATCACTTTCAAAGGCACATGGTTTCATTTTAATTGGCTTTCTGTTGTTACATACTATAGTTTGGTTTTGTATTCTAAGTTACTAATTGCAATTCTGATTATTCTAACAAGTTTGTTATACATAATATTAAATTATATAATATATATTTTCTTTTTGGAATGTGAGTGGCTTTCTTTTCTGCTACTTTAGTTTCCATCTTCAGGTAGCTGTGTAATGAGGTAGATTGATAAGATGATCAAGCTGGAGCTGATGGTTTTTAGTCAGAATAGTCTTCATCAAATGAGCTCCTTGATTTGGCTCATCAGAACTGTTCAGAGACAGTTGTGCAAGCAAAATGAAAGGCTCAGTAGCTCCCTCAGTGGCCAGAGTCTCTTCAATATGATGGAAGCATGGGTGAATGGTAGCTTTAGACTGATCAGAGAACTCAATTTTAATTAGATAGTATTCTTCAATTAAACTGATCAAGTTCTAACTTAATAGGAATGTGCTGGAAAATCAGACTGTCAGTTGTAATCTCGATTGACCTTAATATTCCGATTGAGAAACTGGGCTTCTTTAGACTTGGTTTTCAGGAAAGCTTGTGAATTTTTTGTTGAAATCTAATGGATTTTGGTGCCCCATACAAGGAGATTCATCTTAGCATCCGGGATTTAGGTTTCAGAGCTTAACCTGAACGTCTTGGGTTTTCTGGTGAGTCTAAGTGGAATTACCTAGAAGCTGTATTCTGAATGTGTTTTGGATACTGCTGACCCTAGAGAAGAACCAGGAGAGCAGAATAGCAATGTTTATCTCATCTGTGTCTGTGACAAGATGATCGTTTTATCATTGAAGGCCACCAGCAGATTAAGACAAGACTTACGGCTGAAATGACCAAATGCTTTAACTCCATGACTCTTCAGGACATCATAACCTCTGCCAGGAAAGTGAAGAGCAGTGAAGCAGCTCGGGGACAGCAATTTTTGTTCTTACAGCAACTTTTGTCTGCAGTCTTTATTTCCACGATTTCTCATGTTTAATGGGAGTACTTACTCTTCGTTGTCTTACTGGAACTAACCCTTTTGTGGCAAAAAGTCAATAGTAAAGTATGTATTTTTTGTCTGATGCAAATCTGGTTTGCATACAGGGATATTTACTAGAACACAGTCTGTACAGTGGCTTTTTTTTTCTGAGAGCTTTTCTGATAGGTTTCCCTAGAGGTTTTTATAATGTTTTTGTGCCTTGTATTATTTTGTATTTAGTTACTTTGGGTTAATTTGTGCCTGCTTAGTGTTAAACCTTCCAGGCCTTGACATTTCTGTTGTACTCAAGATACCAGGGTAATAGTGAGTTATCAAGGTGGAAGATTGAATTATTCACTCTTTTGGGAACACGCTGTACTTTGTTTTTTTGGAGTGGTTCTGTCTGTTTAGAAAGCAACTCAACTCCCCTCCAAAACATTTAGTATGGATTTTGAAGACAGAATAGCTCTTCTTAGAAAGAATCCAGTGCTTATAAACCTAGCATGTATCAGTAAAAATAATTAGCGTGCCTTATTGTAGCCCTCTTTGATTAGAAAGAGTATTCTCAAATTTGGAATGTCTCTTTATGCAGTATATGTTGTTAAATGCGAGCATCATAACCACCAGCTACTACTTCAAGAATTGTTATTGTTTTTTTCAGTCTTTATGATACTGATTTCTCAGATTTTTTTTTCTCTATAGATGCAAACAACTCACATTTTGAATTAAACACGGTGTAATGTAACAGATTATAAACATTATCTAAAATAAAGAGATTATGCATCTTATGTATTTATGGTCCTGGTGCCTAGGTAGGATGCTGAAGGATCCAGCTGTCACATCAAATGTGTTAGAAAATAATACTTCCAGCTAGATCTTTAAGCTGTAAATGCTGTCATAAAAAATACTACTTCAGTCTTTATTGATTATATTTGTTTATATTTATATAGTCTTTATTTATTATATATGCCCAAGATAATAATGTCTGTTTTTAATTACAATTTACATTATGTAAAAGTTGCACTCACTTAATTGGGTGGATAAATTGATTGACCTTGACGCTGTTACACATACATGTATATGAAATAGATATTTTTGCTTCCTCAAAGTGAAAGGTATACCTGTGTTTTTCTGAAACAATACAAAGTCACATGCTTTTATTAAAATTTAGACTCGTGAAAATACTTTT